ACATAGCTAAATATGAGTGTTGTTTACTACTCTCAAACCAATAGCCAAAGCAAACGAACCATTCAACCACTCAAATTCATGCTACAAGTTTGGGTGTTTGAGTTCAACAAGTCAGGGGATACCCAGTTTCCCTTGATTGAATTCTCATACCATAACAGCTATCGCACAAGCATCAAGATTGCTACTTTCGAAACTCTTTATAGTCATAAATGCAGATCACTTGCCAGTACTCTCATAAGACCAGGAACCATTTACGAAACAACATAGAAGGTACTCCAAATCAAAGCTTGACTTCAAGCATCGTGAGACCAACAGAAGAACTATTCCGAAAAGCGGCATAAGCCATTAGGATGTCAAGTCGGGGATCGCATGTTATTAAACGAATCTCCTTGGAAAGGAATGATTCGATTTAGGAAACGAGAAAACCAAACCCAAGATACATCGGACTGTTCGAGATTCTTGCTCGGATTGGTCCAAAAGACTTATAGGCTGCAGCTGCCTGTAGAGCTCAACAACGTACACCCTGTGCTCAGCGTATCGAATCCGAAAAAGTGCCTATCAGGCAAAACTCTTATCATTCCTTTAGAAAGAGGTGGAAATAAACGAGAATCTCCTGCTCATCGAAGAACCAGTCAATGTATTGGATAGTGAAGTAAAGCGTACAAAACAAAGCCGCATTCTGATTGTGAAGGTTCGATGGAAACACCAAGCGTGGATCGGAATTCACATATCAACGCGAAGACCATATGAAGTAGAAATACCCTCACCTATTCTATCATTCATGAACCTACCTTTCGAAAGAATTTCGGGACGAAATTCCCTCTAACGGGGGGATGATGTCACAATTAGCATTTTTGCTAGGAAATTCTACTCTCAGGTAATTATTCGCCTAGTGTAATAACTTGTACTCTAAGTGAATACTATACTTCATTATCATTCAAATATATCTCATACGTTCATATAAGGGTTGGAAACCCTAGAAATCCCGACTTAAGTTCTTTATGGACAAGCATTCTCTTATTGGGCCTAATGGACCAATAAACTTTCAAATCGACTATTTGGGCTCTAAATGGACCACAATCATAATACTTTAGTAGTTTGGGCCATGTAGGCCTAAAATAATCCATTTTCATCTCTAATAGGTCTTGTTGGGCCATAAATGGTTCCATTTGCCCTAGTGGGCCGTGAACCTTCTTAAGGGCCCAATGAGCCAAAAAAATGCTTGGAGCTTCACAAATTTCGAACAAGGCCAAGGTTGGGCCCAAATCATTTAATTTTTAGTACTCTAGCCCATTATCTAGGCCCAACAACATCACTTAACCAAAAAAAAAAGAAGAAAGAAAGAAATCTTGCATGGGGAAGAGGTTGACACCTCATTTTTACATGTAGGACTTCCACACTAATTACCTCTCATGTATCAACACTCTCATACTTCCATGCTAAGGTCACTCCACTCTCTCCCCTCCCTCTCTCTTCTTAATCTCTGCCTAACGCCATTCTCCCTCACCAAAAATCATTCAATTTTCCTTTCACTCCCAAAAACCTCAAGAGCTCTTCCATTTTCTTCCATAAACCCGTAAGTGGGTGTGTGTGTGCTCAAGAAGGTCCCTCCAACTCACATACTAGGTAAGATACTTCAATTTTAATTTGGATAAATCCATCTTATGTTAGATCTTCTTCAAAACATCACAAATCTTGTGTTACACTCCTATAACCATCCACATCTTCGAGATCTTTTCAAGGAAGTAAGCTAGGCCGAAAACAACATCATTTTCTCATATCCCTTCGTCAAAATCGAACCAAACCCCAAGGTGAGTTCATACCCCTTGTTTTCAGTTTTCACATGATTTTGGGGGAGAATACAAGTTGCTTTGTGTAGATCTATGTGTATATGCATGACTATGTGTGTTTTCTTGAATCATTTGGTGATTATATGTTGCTTACTTCATTAATCTAAAAATATGTCAAGAACTTGAACTATATCACTTGGATCTTTATATGAATCTTGAGAGAAGTATGTTTTATCAAACATAATACATGTAAACTAGTATATACTGGATTTATACACTTGATATAGCAAAAATGAGTGTTGTGGTTAGAGATCTATAAACTAAACTCACAAAATAGCCTTTGACAGAAACGTTTTGGTCCAATCTCGGACTGTTTTTACCCTTTTAATGGAAGTAATTTTCAAAAACTGTTTTGCATGGATAATGTTCAGATTTATACCTTTAAAATGACTACTCTCACGTTTTTATATGATTTTTCTACAATTTTTGGAGAATTTTACAAAACTGCCTATCAAATTTGACATACTTTCGGACCAACCTGTGAAGGTGAGCAATTTCACACTAGTTTGAGGCCATTAAAAATTTTGAGAAAAATTGTGAACAAATTAGACATGTTTTCCAAACATCCAGAGTTTACGGATCTAAATTTCGACATACGATAAGTTTTCTACAAATTTTCCAAAAACTAGGTCGGAGAAGCCCAAAACCAGAAAAATATGTATTTCCACAAAAATCAAGCCAAAAATGATATTTTTGACAAAAATGGGTTTAAAATGTTATTTTTATCACAAAGTAGTCATCAACACAAGTTTTTAACAAAATTGGAGATCAAAGTGTTATTCTTACAAAAAAAAATTGGGCGTAATTGTGAATTTTATGCTTATTGGGCCAAGAACATCATTTTTACAAAAGGAGGGCTTTTTATATCAACTTTGTAAATAATCAAGCTAAAATAGACAAAACAATAACAAACGTGTTAAAAATGATATTCATATCCTTATTGGGCCTGGAAATAAGGTACATGTTTAGTGGGCCTTAGTGTCCTTTTACATGTATATTGGGTCTAGGATAGACATTCACATTCCTTTTGTGCCTGGAAATAATAGACACGTATAGTGAGCGTTAGTGGTCCACTTACATGTTTATTGGGCCTGGGAATGGGTTTTATGTGCGTTCTTCTTTTTATACTATTTTAGTGAATACTTGAGCTAAAAGCAATGATAAACCAACAAATGGAATTAATTTGATCATTTTCTAGGTTATTGGGCCTTAGTGACCCATTTCTATGTGTGATAGGTCCTGTATACTATTTACATGTTTATTGGGCCTCATTGACCCATTCACATGTGCGACAGACCTTGGATACTATTTGTGTGCTATTTGGGCCTGTAAATACTTTATATGTGAAATGGGCCTTAGTTGTCCTTTCATATATATTTCGGGCCCATGTTATATAATCTCATTCCATTTGGGTCTTGAAATGATTTACATGTTTAGCGACGCCTTAGTGGTTCACTTACATGGATCATTGGTCCTAGAATGAGTTTATACATATTTCTTCGCGTAAATTCGATTAAGGATCTAGCGAGTTTTTATCGGTTGGTACCTATTAAGTGTACAATCGTAGCCTATAGTGATAACCAGAGTCTCCTGAAGGGAGAATGGGGATTTGTGTATAGATCTATACGGGGTTGACACCCCACACCTCAGCTGTTCGCTACAGTTAGACTTACTCAGTCTAGGGTGACGAAAACCTTATTCTATTTTCCGTCGGCGTCCAACGACGCCAAGACAGGTGAAATTGTCATTATTTACTATGGTTATGACGGCTCGCTAAGAGGAATTAACGTTATGAAGTTTACGGAAGACATCTACATTTTTTTAGGCAACGTCGGGTTGTCTGGGAACATTCTCTTTACATGCTCTTACATTCTCTCTACATTCTCTTTACATTTTTAGTCAAATAAACAATAGCATACATGCATTAATACAAGATCTAACACAAACACACTAAACAGTTTTTAGAAAATATCGGATTTTCTGGTGGTTTTCAAAGTTATACAAATCATTTTCACAAACATGCTTATGAACTCACCAACATTTTTATGTTGACCGTTTTCAAAATAACTTGTATTCTCAGGATACCGTTGAAGTAGGATGAACGTAACAAACTAATGGATATTGTGTGATATTTTGTTTCATTATACTCTTACTATTTTGGCATGTAATATTCAAATACAATACTCGATGTAAACAATGAATGTTGTAATATTACATGTGTGATGATGATGATGTTATGTTTCAATTATATTCACTGTAATGATATTTCAAGATGAAGTCACGCGCAAGCCCCCGGACGTTTCCGCCGTCTGGTTCGGGAGTGTGACGACTACCCACAGTGTGTCTTGCTGTTGACCCACTAGAATCTACGGTGTTACGGTTCTGCTGAGCGATTTTTGAATTCTTTTGCCACTTCTCTGTGGACCAATGCTTTGAAAAGAATATATATATATATATATATATATATATATATATATATGTATATATATATAAGTACAATAATATAATAAGAAATAAAAAACTTAACAAAAAAATAATAATGTATCATATCCGTTACATCACACAAATGTTGCCACACAGTCTCCGGTACGCGTTCGGGGCGGTAGTTATGCATCCCATCATAGTAGCTACAAAACTTTTGGGGGAGGGGTTTCCCATCACTTCGTGCCATGTTGGCAGATTGTTTCTTGATATCTTTCATCCTATCTCTGTATCTATCCTTGAGGACACACTTGAATGCATCAAATATGTTCTCATTCTCTTGTGAATGCCACCTGTACATTGTCTGTGAAAGACAAAAAGTAAATTTAAAAAATACAAACTAAAAACAAATGAGTATAAGATACAATAACAAGTATTTAATATATTACCCCAAAACGCGAAAACATATGTAGAAGAGCCTCATTTGGAATATCACTGAACTGGGCCCACGGATGATCTAAATTCTCCCAAAAGAGATGAATACACGCGCTGTGGATTTTTTGATCCCCAAACCTACAGTATTGAAAAAACTATATAAGTATATTTATAACATCAAGAAATTAAGTTTTAAATGATGAAAACACTAACTTTTCCCCATATCGTCTGATGAGGGGCAATGATGAGGCGTGAAAATCACTCGCATTCGAGTCGTGACCTCCTGAAATACCTCTAGAGGCGGAGCCATGCGGCGTCAATGGCGTGTTCGGTGCCATCGGTGTGTGTGGGGGTATGTGGTGACCGAAAGGTTGCCTCTGCATCTGCACCCTCAAAACAATAGTCCTCAAACCCATCATTACCACCTGTCCTCAAAAACATTTGTAAGGACTGAGGTATATAATCCGTCTGTGGTGGGAGCTGAGGCCTATAATCCATATGTGGGACCTGGGGCATATGACCCGTCTCTCGAGCCCAACGGCGAAGAATCCCGACGAAGTCTGCTAAAGGATCAGCCATACCGATTTGCTGACTAATAGCACCCTGACTGTTGGAGCCTGCAACTCCTGTCACTATCGGCATATCGATCGGTACGAGTGTCGTCCTATAACGTAGCTCTTCGGTAGAATTAGGGGGATGCCCTCCCCACCGTATGCCTCGCACTACCAGAAGAAGAGTTGTTACTATGGCCATTATCCTTGCGTCTATTACCCGACATGCTGCATTTAATAGAACAAGAATGGTTAGTTATATAATATATGATTAATAAGTTATGACAAAAGAAATGTTTAAAATAACAATATGTCCAAACCAAAATCATTAAAAAAAAACATTTAATTTTAAGGTTTTAAAAAAGAAGACAATGTTCTTAACATCAACAAATACAATGCTCTTATCATAAAAAAAAGACAATGCTCCTAACATCCGTCCTCATCATCTTCGTCTTAAAATTCTTCTTCTGAATAATACAACTCGTTTTCATCACTTCGACTTCAAAATCTTCCACTTCTTCGTCTTCCTCCCTAAGTCTCTCATTCTCGTCGTCAGATATTTGCTCATACGTATTAGTAGTTGAGGCTAGGCATAATCGTTCTGCACGAGTTACAGTAAGGGGTCACTCAAATCGTTCTTCATCCTGAAAGATTTCATCTGCTTCCATTTCAGCTTCGGTAACTTCAAATACCCCTCTTGGTTTTGTCTTGATCACTGCCCACTTATCTTTAGTCTCCCTTGTCATTGAAGGGTATGGTGTATAAAACACTTGTTCGACTTTTGATGCCAAACAAAAAGGGTCGTCAGTTTGAAGTCGAGAGTTGGATTTGACATCAATCAACTTGTTTTTGATGACTATTACACTGTCTTTGTTATCAAACCAAATACAATTAAACAGTACAACAGTCGAGGGTCCGCTGCTATAATACTTAATCTCTATGATCTCTTGCACTATGCCATAGTAGTCTGACTCTTGTTCAGCATTATACGTCTCCCCTCTCACATATACTCCAAAGTTATTCGTCACACGACCCTCACCGTATTGTTGAGTGTGAAACTTATAACCATTTACAAAATACCCATTATAGTAATGAGCATGTCTCGATGGTTTATTAGCTATAACTTCTAAGTGTCTAGCACTTCCATCAGGTGTCTTATACATTACCTACAGTGAAAATATACACATTATGTTGGTTAATGATGCGTTGGTAACAATCAGTATGATTTAACTATTTCTACTTACTTTGTCCTCAAACCATTCAGCAAAGTATTTATCTCTTAAATCTGAAACTAATTCGTTTGGATTTGTTTGCATGACCATTTCATCAAAATCCATGATGTAAGGGTTAACTTCTTTACAGTTAAGTAATATGTAGGTGTGCACCTTGTGGAAATCTTTATCAGTCAAAGCTTGTCGTTTTCCACTTTTTTCATATAATCTTCTTGAAGGGACAACAAAGATGCTAAGTGGAGCTTCTCCACTAGAAAAATTATGACTTTGCGGTGCAAAATTCCGTGCTTCTCGATTATGGCGTGTCTCAATCGTCGGGTCAAAATATAATGAACAATAGGTAACGAGTTCATTCACTAGATGTTTGTTGACTATTGAACCCCTCAACCCTTGCTTTGTTCCTTATTCTTCTTTTAATTATGCCCAGTTTCCTATATTTACAAAGTATAGGCGATGTGTTAGGAAATGCAACGTTTTCGAGCATATATAATATTAAAACATATGATTACCTCTCTTATTGAAACATCCATCTATAATGTACCGGACCACCAACAATAGCTTCATCAACTAAATGTATGACTAGGTGTTCCATTGAATCAGAGAAGCTCGGAGGGTATATTTGCTCCAACTTGCACATAGTCTGAATAATACTGCATTTCATATCGAACATGTCCTGAAAATGCAACGTTTTCGAGCATAATACTCGAAAGTACATAAATATCTCTGATACGGCCTCGTATATCTTTGTTGGAACAAACCCTCTTAAAGCTAGGGGAAACAACTGTTGCATAAACACGTGGCATCGTGGCTTTGAAACCATAGAAACTGTAATCTTTGATGTTTACGCAGTTTCCTATATTTAATGCATACCCGTCAGGAAATTTGATCTTTTTCAACCACTCACATACTTTTTGAACTTGGTCCTTTTTCAATGTGTAATCTCCACGCTTCTTCCTAGCCTTCCTGTTGTTGTCCCTAATAGGGTTTAGTATAGGTCGATCACATAGCATCTCAATATCCTCTCTTGCCTTTATATTGTCTTTGGACTTTGAGGTGCCCATCGAAGTCTGAAACATATTTTCAAAAAAATTCCGCTGAATATGCATCAAATCAAGGTTGTGTCGGATCAACAGGTGACGCCAATATGGAAGCTCCCAAAAGATGATCTTCTTTATCCAGTTATGTGTAATACCAAAACCATGTGGTTTTGCATAATTTGGACCATAGGGTGTACCGTTGTGTACAGTGGGAAAATGTTGAATTTTCTCCCAAATATATTCTCCAGTTGGGTACGGAACAGGCACTTCATGACCCTTCACTTTCTTGCCTTTTAAAAAATTAACTGTATCATTTCGAAATACGTGTCTTTCGGGTAGATGTTTTCTATGACAGTCAAACCAACACGATTTTTGTCCGTTGAGAAGCCGGAATGATTATGTTTGGTGCATGCAAAATGGGCACGCTAAATTAGCATGCGTGCTCCATCCGGACAACATTCATAAGCAGGGAAGTCACTAACTGTCCATAGAAGTACAACCTTCATTTGAAAATTGGTTATTCGATGAGCATCATAAGTTTCAATGCCATCTGTGAAAAACATCTTCAACTCTTCCACCAAAGGTTGTAAAAAAACATCCAAATTTTGTCCAGGACTCTTCTTCTTAGAAATGATCAATGGAAGTTGTATGTACTGATGTTTAAAAGCCAACCAAGGGGGGTAGGTTGTAAACAGTGATAAACACCGGCCAACATGAATAGGGAGTTGTATTTGAATTATTAGGACTAAACCCATCAGTACACAACCCCGAGACGAATGTTGCACGTCTCATTTGCAAAATCAGGATATGTTGTGTCAAAATGATTCCATGCTTTACCTTCATTGGGATGTATCATCTTTTCTGGATCTATTGAATGATATGCATGCCAAGTTAAATGTTTGGCCGTCTTCCTTGAATAAAAGAGCCTTTGAAGTCTCGGTCCAATCGACATGTAAGTCAAGACCAAATGAGGAACTTTCCTCCCTCTGTCTTTGTATCTATTTTCACCACATACTACACACCGATCCAGATCAACAAATTGGCACCTAAATAGCATGCAATGGTTTATACACACATGAATCCGTTCTGAAGGCAATTTTACTGGCTTCAACATTTTCTTGGTCTCGTAGAAGCTGTTAGGAAGCTTCTCGCCAGATGGTAGAATGTCTTTAACAATCGAATGTAGTTTATCAAATGACGTGTCCGAAACATTAGATTGTGATTTCCAGTCTAATAATCTAGTGGTCGCGGCGACTGTGGAAGTTTTTGTACACCCATCCCATAAAGGCTCACTCGCTTGTTTCAAAATTTTATAAAAATTTTGGGCTTTAAGATTTGGGTCGTGTGGTGTTTGTTGATAATAAGAAGCCTCGGGTTGATGCATGCATTCGATGACCATCTCCTCGTATATACAATAATCACCAAAATCGTTATCAATGTGTTGACTCGCTTCAGGGTTTGAACATTGACCAATCTTTAGTGTTGGATATTTTTCTCCATGTAAATACCATAGTGAATAACCATTCATGAATCCACGGACAATAAGATGGTTAAAAACTGATTCTATCGGGTGGTAATAAATATTTTTGCATTTCACACACGGACATCTTATTTCAAAAACTTCCACCCTTTCCCTAATAATACGTTGGATGTTTCTTGCGTTCGTGTAAGCAAAATCCAAAAACAAATTGACATAATGTGGCTATTGCGGATTAAACAAACGACGACTATCAAGTCTCTTCGTGTACATCCATTCTCTATTAGACAACATTTTGATCTAAAACTACATTTCCATTTGAAAATGTTAATTAGAATCCTAACATTTCAATATAATAATGTAACATCCCATTTAATCTAATATGTATGACTAACGATACATAACATTTCAACAAATGATCAATATCATAATATGCATTTTAAATTAACTAAAAATCCATATATAAGCATTTAACTAACATTTTTAACAAATTTAACAAATTAATTTAAAATTTTTTATATAACATATGTATCATATTTAACAAATCTAAAACCTCAAATTCAACCTATATTTCATATTTAACAAATCTATAACCACACATTCAACAAAGTGCAGGAGGAAGTAATTTTAACAAATCTTAAACACCAAAATCAACCTAAAACATCACATTCAACAAAAAAATAACCTAAAACCTCATATTCAACAAAAAAATCAACCCTACTAGCTCACATTCAACAAAATCACACCTAAAACAAAGTAATTTTTAAAAAGAAACAAAAAAGAAAAAAAACTAGAGTTTACCTTTGGTTCGATGACGGGAAAAAATGTAGCAGGAAGAAGCACCGACAGTGGCAGTGCCGTCGACGTCGGAAAAGTGCAGGAGGAGGAAGGGGCGCCACCACCAGGGCAGTCTTCCCCAGAGAGAGAGAGAGAGAGCTGTAGCGTGAATTTTTATTTTTTTTATTTTTATTTATTTATTTATTTATTTTTGTTCTTGTAAGCTACGATATGAGAATGGGGAAGACAGAAAAGTGGGGCATATATCATTAAATTAGAGACAACGGCCAGCAAAAAAAAATTGTTGCTGCAGGAATCGAACTCGAGTCTCAATAGTATTAAACCAACAGTCTTACCAACCGGTCGGGTACACCACTTCCTTAATTGTTTAGACTCCAATTGATTTTATTTTGTTTCTGGAAAAATAAAGAAAAACGGGGTGGGGTAAGAATTAAAGTCGAGTCTCCTGCATAACTAACCACACAATTACCATCCGGCTGGGCATGCCACATCCTTGTTGAGTTAGTCTCCTATTAATTTTATACACTTTCTTTTTTCGATTATTATTATTATTATTATTATTATTATTATTCAAGTCTTAAAACTTTTTTTTTTTATGATCATATGTATGTGTGTGCTTATTATTATTATTATTATTATTATTATTATTTTATTTTCA